AGAGAAGAGCTTCAGGGTTGAGCCCAGAGGCAGCTGAAGGGATTCCACTGAGCCTTCTCGTTGCCCCCCTTAATTTGCAACACCCCTCCCCCACAAATACTCACAAGGCTGCATTGAGAAACATGTTATAACCCCCCCCCCCCCCCCCGCTTCCTTCCTCCGCCCACGGCAGGTTCATCCAACGCAGCCCCCTCACCCTTCTGCGTAGCCAGGTGATTCTCCCCATCCTCCAGTGGGCCATCGCCGCCACCACCTTGGATCACCGGGACGCCAACTGCAGCATCATGAAATTCCTGCGCGACCTCGTCCACACCGGTGTGGCCAACGATGTGAGTCCGGTATGCGTGTGAGCCTGACGGGGTGGCGGGGAGGGAGGGAAGCCCACGGTTCTAACCCCAAACACCACAAACCTTCCGACGTGAACTCAAAAGATTCCTTTATTAGGAGCGCCAGCGAAAAGTTTCTCTCACACCCCAGGCTAACACGTCCGTCCGTCCGGGAGATGGATAGTTGTCTGCCACATCTATTCATCTCCGCCCCCTGCCTTTTATCCCCAGAGCTCAACTAGCAGCGGTGGCTCTTCCGTCCCGAGGGCCGGCCCATAGATTTCCACTGCTCTCTCCTCTCCTCTCTGCCTTTTTCACATCCACGCGTCAGGCCTTGGACCCGGCTGTTCCTCCTCTTCCTCTTCAGCCACCTCCAGACCTGGGGGCTGTTGACTCTCCATCGGAGGGATGACGGGCGGCCTCAGGCTCCGCCTCTGTAGTTTCCCGGATTCATTTCCCCCTCCTTTTTTTTTTTTTTTTCCTTGTTTGAAGATGGGAATCACATCAGGTGTTTTCCTGCCCTCCCTGTAGTTCCCAGGTGCTCCGGGGTCTTTGAAAGAGATGGTACGATGAAGTGTTTTTTTTTCTATCAGGGCAACCTGGTCTGCCCAATTATGGGACAGAGCATCCTGCTTCCGTTTTCGCCTTTCAGCCCCAATCCAGGAGCCTTCGCGGGTGGTCGCTTTTGTGACAAACTATTTTGGTTTTAAATTCATCTGTCTGTATAAAAGTGAAATACCCCTCACACATCATCACAAAATCTCCAGAACTGGAAAGCCTACAAACTTGGAAATTTGGCATGTATGTTCCTCTTGGCTTCTAGAAAGGATTTTTCCAAATGACCATCAGAGCATTTAGAGTATTTCCTATATTATTATTATTAACATGCTCTGATGCTAAGGAGTTCGACTCCCCCTCCCCACCTGAAAAAAAGAAATCTCTTCCAAATGCAAAACAGAAGCAGAGGAGTTTCAGTTTCACAGCAGCAAGCAGCTTTAGTACAGAACAGTTGAGCTAAGCCACGCCCAGGCTCCTTGCTGTCTCCTTCTTGCTCACACAGCAAATACTGTTTCAGTTTCCAAACAGCCCTCAACTCTCCCACACACTGACAGGAGGCTAGCCAGATGAATACCGATGGATGCTGGTAGGCAGAATTCCCCACCCCCTTATTTTCCTCCCCAAAAGCTAAGCCCAACCACATAGTTTTGTAGCAAAGCAGGCGTATCGAGCTGGTATAATATAGAAATTTCGCCTTTCAGCCCTGATCCAGGAGCCTCTGCAGGCGGTCGCTTACGTGACAAACCTTAAGAAAACAGATTAGGGATGTACAGTAGTTAGTTCTCCATTTACAACGGTTCGTTTAGTGACCTTTCGAACTTAGAGCGGCCACTGAAAAAAAGGGACCACTTACGACCATGTTTCACATTTACGACGATTGCCACTCCCCATGGTCAGCTGGCTCCTATTTATGACAGCCGCAGTGTCCCTGGGTCACACAATCCCCTTTTGTGACCGTCTGACTGGTTTCTTTGTGCGGCAATTTCCTTGACCTTTTTCTTGTTGTTTTACATGTTGAACGAAGCTCTTCTGTTTGGTTAATTTTGACTTTTTTTGCAAGTCTCAAGTTGCATTTTGAGCCTTGGCTTTGCTGAGTTCACCTTTGCGGATTCGGGCTATTTGCTGGTGTTCTGCCTGAGCTTTTAGACAAGGAGCAGGTGTTCTGACCAAAGCTTCCAGAAACAAACACACGTTAGTCCCAAAAACCTTTTGTTTTATTTCAACGGCTGTGAATTAGAGTCATTCACAGCCCATAATGAGTCTCCAACAGTTTGTAAATAGCCCCACAAAAGTCTGCCACAGTCCTTCTGGATAAATCTGATAAGCACCCACCTTTATCTTCCTTGAAATGCTGCCAAAGACTAAATTGTCAATTAGCTGTACAAGGCCAAACAGCACAAGTTTAAACCAACCAGAACGAACAAAGTTGCTTCCTGCAAAGACTCCTGTCCCTTTTCCTCCTCCTTTTTGTCTCGGGGGGGGGGGGCAATCACCTCCAACCCTTACTCCCGAGTCGCCCCTTTTGTCTTAACTGTTCTTGCCTTCTGGCAGCTCTGCGCATAAGCACACTGGGAACAGGCTCCCACTGCTCCTCTGCCTCACTGTTGTCAGATTCTGGAGGCTCCGGAGTCAGCACAGCAGGCTCTTCAATCTGCCGCCTGGGCAGAGGGCAGGAGGGGGGGGGTGGCCAGCGCCTGAGCCCGCTCTGTTGTGTGTCCTTTGCAGCACGAGGACGACTTTGAGGCCCGCAAGGAGCTCATTGGGCAGGTGATGACCCAACTGGGCCAGCAGTTGGTGAGCCAGTTGTTGCAGACCAGCTGCTTCTGCCTGCCGCCTTACACCCTACCGGACGTGGCCGAGGTGCTCTGGGAGATCATGCAGGTCGACAGGCCGGTAAGGGGCGCAGGACGCCGTGGGGGACCCCCCGGGTGAACTGCCCCTCTGGGACGGAGGAAGAGCAACCCACGGGTGGGGGAGTAGAATCGCCCCGCCCCCCAGACTAGACCAGCCCTCTAGATAGCTGGATGGAGGGATGGGTAGATAGACACAGACAGATGAGGGAGGGAGGGAGAGAGATGATGGATGTAGATAGATGGAGGAATAGATAGATGAGAGATAGATGAGTCAGTAAATATGTAGATTGATGGATAGGTAGGTAGGAGAGATAGATGGAGGGATAGATGAATAGGTAAATATGTGGATGGGTGGGTGAGTGGGTAGATGGATTGATAGATAAGAGGATGGATGGAT